GGCCGGGGTGCGGGGCAGCGCCAGGGCAGCCGGGCTCCCGGGGGGTTGGACGCGTCCTTGGGGCTCGTGTCCTCAGGCCCCGTGTCCTGCCGGTGTTGCTGAGCTGTGGGAGCGAGTTGCCCTTGAATTGAGCACCTGGGAGCGTGGGTTTCAAGCTGGTTTGGGTTATTCTGGTCTCTGCTCTGCAAACACTTGTTTCTGTATGAGAGAAATTATTTGTCCCTCCTGTCTCTTAGTTAACTCTACCTTAACCTGCCTTTGGGTGCTTTAAATTGGTGTTCAGCCTTGTCTCCAGAGAAATAAACATGGACATGGTGCACTTCTCACAGCTCCAGCCACCCTCCTGCCTCCTCCCTAGGTAGGCCCTGTGACACTTTGGCAAGAGCTTGCTGAGTTTAGTGGACAGGCATTGTTTGAATGTATAAAGTTTCTGCAGAGTTCCTGAAAATCTGAGTTTAAGGAGAATAGGACCATCCAGTTGATTGTCCTGACAGAAGTGGTGTGGATGAGTTTGGAAGTGTTGTTAAGACACCAGAAAGAGGCACCTTTTGGAGGGGTTGCTCCATTCCCGTGGGAAGTGTGAGCTGGACCTCTCTCACCCCATCTAGCTACTCAAGCCATGAGACACAAAGTCATGGGAAGCCAGGCTTGATAAATTCTGTCACTGCTCAGGGAACTTCTTGTTAAGTGCTTGGAAAATGCTCGGATACTGTTGTGAGAGGGGAGAGAAACAGAGGCTTTACTGCATTCATTTTCAAAGAGCTTTTCTAAAACTTAAATGTCTGAGAAAAGACACGTTTTAAGGGCTCTGTAGTTCTGTATGTTCATACCTGTGAATGCAGTGATAAGGTCTAATCTTGCTTCAGTGTGCTGGGAATATATGCATACGTAAAATGATATGTAGAATAAACACCAGAGAAGAAAGATGCTGCCTAACTTCTAAAAATTGGATCTTTTGTAGTACAGAATATCCTGAAATGTGACCTTATTAGCTCCTCTTTATTGATAAAGCCAGTATAAGTGACTTAAGGTGAGAGATGGATGGAGAAAGAGAGTGCCTGTGTCTGCAGAGTGCTGCTGCTACCTGCGTTCTGACTTTCATTTTCAAAATTATTCCAAAACCAGATGAAAAAGGATATGAGTTCAAGTAGTACTTTCAGGAGCTGTTCCATCCGCAGCCCTGTTATCTTGTCTAACCTGTGACTCTTTTTTGGAGCCATTTGTTAACAGGGTATTTTGGTGGTTTTTTGTGTGTGATGAAGACGACTTAAATATCAGCAGGATGGGGAAGCAGTGCATTCCCACTACCTGACTCAATTTGTGGGGTTTTTCCTCTCTCCAGAGCTCCAGATTACTGCTTGCCCATCACAGTAATGTTTTGTGCTGTTACATTTGATCCCAGCTGCTTGCCTGACACTGATGGTTAAATTGAGGAATCTCAAAAACCTTCAAGTCGAGGTCTTCCTTCTTGAATTGTTAAGTCTTACAAAACAACCCCTCCAGTCAGATGCTACAGAAACATTCTAAAGCAACATTTTTCTTTAAAGAAAGTAGTATCACTTTAGTGAGCAGATCTACAGCGAGTACTTCTTCAGTCCTGACCCTATTTAGTGATAGGAACCATTATGTCCCTTTGGGGAAAAGGAGAAGTAAGTTTGATGCTCTTTGGATCGTGCCTCAGGGACTCAATTATGTGAAACACCCGAGCAACCTCAAGTCCTGCGGAAACCAGTCTGAGATGGAAGGACTCGATGTTCTGTGTCATCATCTGCCAGCATCATTAATTGAATACCAAGGGCAGGTTTGGGCTTTGCTGTCTCTGTATCATTTCTGCTAATGGCAGTCCAATAAAAGGCAAATGGTACAAAGTACATTTTGAAGTTCTCTATTTTTATCATCATAGTGACGCAGAACGATCTCTGCTTGCCTTCCAGTCCGTGCGTTGGCTTTAAAGAATTAGCAGCAAAGTCACACTATGTTTTTTTACCAAGTGAATATATTTGCTTCTAATTCATGTGAGCATAATTTTCCTGTGATACTTGCAGGCTTCCATCAGAAGTGGATGAAAATGTTGAATTTGCAGTTTACTTTCATTTGTGTTTTTTGAAAAGGTTACTCTCTAGGTCAACTGAAGAGCTCTCAATTTTTGAGTGGATGCTGGCCCATGAAGGGCATGACATACCACACATATATTTAAATCACCCACACCACCTTTTTCTGTTAATTCCTTAGGTTTCCTGATTCTGTAGAGGGTAACATCCCTCCTTCAGTCTTTTGTGCTGACCGGAACTAGAATACTGATCCATCAAATAGTATGTGCTGAGCACGTAGTAAATATTTAAAGCCTCAGACACACCTTAGTTCTTGAGTAGACCTATTAGAGTCAAATTTTTATATGAAACCTGCTCAGTTTAGGATTATGAATCTTAACTTCTCTGTAATGAGTTCTGCTCTACAGTTACCACTGAGCAGCACAGTGATGAACTGTGGTTCTAAAATAAGATAGTGTTTAAAGTAATGAAAACATTGTTTTGCCAAGTTTTTCATGCCATCACCCCAGTTAGGTGACGGGTCTACAGTGTAGTGGTTTCTCTTCAATCTTGAGGTTAGTTCTTTGAGCTAACACTTTTTGTTCAATATTTGTATGTCTTCTGCACAGTACATCCCTTGCTGAGGTCTGACATAAATTAATGTGTCTACTTTTGCAGTTCAATAAGCAGGATACTTTTTAGAGGAAAACAAAACACAAAAGTAAATTGTCACTGAATCACTGCAGAAAAAGCTGCTCTTGGAGAAGCAGATAATTGTCTACTCTGCATTAAAAGGAGATAGAGACTTGCTTTTGTGTACCTGCATCCTACTGGGGTCAATGGCTGAGTTTAATGGTAGATCAATTCAGGGTTTTTTCAGCAATGTAAGAAAATATGAGGAAGTTGCAATTTGGAAAACTTGGAATGAAACTGAGAGTGTGAGGAAGTTACAGTTCAGAACACTAGGAATGAAAGTACTTCTTTCTAACAATGGCCAGTGAAAAATATTAAGCATAGTACTATGATTTGTATGACACTTATAAAACTGAATGCTTTTTTCTTTCCTATTTAAAGGAAGAGCCAAGGCTGGATGTCCTGATAAATAATGCAGGGATATTCCAGTGTCCATACATGAAGACAGAGGATGGTTTTGAGATGCAATTTGGTGTGAACCACTTGGGTCACTTCTTGCTCACCAACCTTCTTCTGGGCCTCCTCAAAAATTCTGCTCCGAGCAGGATTGTGGTAGTATCCTCAAAGCTTTACAAATACGGAGAGATCAACTTTGAAGACTTGAACAGTGAAATAAGTTACAATAAAAGCTTTTGTTACAGTCGGAGTAAACTGGCTAACATATTATTTGCAAGGGAGCTGGCCCGTCGGTTAGAAGGGACAGGAGTCACCGTCAATTCACTTCATCCTGGGATTGTCAGAACAAATCTAGGCAGATACGTGAATATTCCTTTGCTGGCAAAACCCCTGTTCAACTTGGTGTCCTGGGCTTTCTTCAAAACACCTCTGGAAGGAGCCCAGACTTCTATTTATTTGGCCTCTTCTCCTGATGTCGAAGGCGTGTCAGGAAAATATTTTGGGGACTGCAAAGAGGAGGAGCTGCTGCCCAAAGCCATGGATGACTTGGTTGCAAGAAAGTTGTGGGATATTAGTGAAGTGATGGTTGGTTTATTGAAATAAGTGCCAGAGGGTATCTGCTAAAAGAATGCAGATAACTTCAACACATGTTTCCAGTGATGCAGTCCTCACTTGAAATGCTGTGGGAGTACAACTAGAGTGCTCTTATGCTGGGACTCTGCTTTCAAATAAAGAACAATCTAGTAGACACAGGCATTAAAAAGAGTTTGAAATAAAGTTTGAGGGTGTGCGTATAATTCCTGATTAAATTTCCTGCTTGGAAACTCTTTGTTTTACAAATAAACAAAACTGTGTTTTGCCACATATGTGCATATTTAATGTGTTCCACTACTTGTAGTTGGGCTGGGCAATGCAGGGTACTGATGGTTGGGGTTTTTTTTAAATAGATCCTAGTAGTAATTAAATTGTTGTATTTTTTGAGCCATCACAACAAAAAAATGGAATAAACAGTTTTACTTACATCTTGCACTGTAGTTATGTTGGCCTCTTGAGTGCTGTCCAAAGATCTGCCAGCCCCGTGGTTCAGTGGACAAAACTTGAGAGCCGTGTACAATTTAGCTGGGAAGCACAAAGCCAGTTTTTTAGTGATGTAGCTGCTATTTAATGAGTGTATATATATACACACACACTTGGTTGTGCAAGCTGTGTTTTTATTTTCTTGTGTGCTGAGCTTTAAATTTCTTGATATGCAGACAGCTCAGGTTTCATGAACAGTGTAGTTGACAGATGTATTATGGTCTTGATAGGGCTTTGCATGTCACAAGTTGTGTGCATACAGAGTTCACAAAACCTCACCCAGGTTAGACCAAATAGAATATGCTTCTCAGTGTGTGTTTGGCTTCACTGATGGCACTTTAACTTTAGATGAGCCTGTCTAAAACAGTTTACTGAACATACTTTAATAAAAATATTTTTTAAAAAAGACTTAGCATTCATTCTTTCACTGTGGAAGATACATCAGAAACCAGCAGGCTTGACACAGTAGCTGTGTTTCAAAGCAGAAGATTCAGCTGTATTGGCTCAGGGAGCCTGTGTGGGGTTGGTAGGAAAAAAATGAGCTGCAAGGTTGGAAGTTATCATCAGTTTCCAACCTCCCTGCCATGAGCAGGGACACCTCCCACCAGACCAAGCTGCACAAGCCTCATCCAACCTGCCCTTGAACACCTCCAGGGATGGGGCAGCCAGAGCCTTCCTGGTCAACGTGTTCCAGTACCTTCCTACTCTCCTGGGGAAGAATTTCTTCCTAATGTCCAACCTAAATCTCCCCTCTTTCAGTTTAAAACCATTACCTCTTTTCCTATCACTGCCCTCTCTGGTGGAAAGACACTCCCCTTTCCTGTAGCCCCTTGAGGCATTGAAAGGTACTATAAGGTCTCCTGGAGCCTTTTCTTCAGGCTGAACAACCCAAATAGATCCGTATTAACTACATATATATATCACTTAACGTAGCAACCAGGGCTTCTTTGGTTCTTTGCTCAGAGTCTCAGCATATTTTAACTTCTGCACAAGTGGAGTGTACCTAGTGTTCACCAGCAAGATTGTGCTCTGGGTGAGTGACCTTTGTGGGGGTGGAAGGTGACATTCCAAAAAATCTTAAGGCAGGATATTGAATAGAGCAGGTTTTTAAGATCTTGTGCCATGTTGGGCTTTGCCCTACTCACTGCAAGGTGAGGTGTAGAGAGGGCTGTGTTGTCAGAGCAGATACTGAGCATTGATCAAAGTTCTGTAAGAAATGTCAGAAGGGTGAGTGGAACATGCTTAGAGAAGTTCTGCTTTGATCTTCAGAGCTGCATTTCACATTTTCATTCTAAATACTTGTAGGTAGCTGCACACAACACCTTTAAACAGCGGGCTAAAGAACGAAAAGTTCATTAACCAGAACTTCTCTGTAGAGAGAGAAGCTGAGCCAAACTTGGCTGAGTGTTTTGAATCCTGCTGTAACAATACTGAAGGAGCACTACTGTGCTGGCTCCCTGCTCAAACACGTGTGTTCCTCTTGCAAAGAAAGCCTTGGAGGCAACGGTGGAGAATGGAGAAGATGGTTAGTCTGAAAATACTATAGTAAAGAGCTGCACTGAAACTCTGAGGAGGAATATGTAATTTTTCAGACTGAATGACCAACATGGGATGTACAGTAGCCTTCAAAATAGCAAAGGGGGATTTGTAGCGAAATGGGAGAAGTGTTAGTTGTGTAGTGTGGCTGTAGCATGCATCTGGGAACTGGAGGTCTCATAAGTCAACAGATCTTGCTAAAAGTAACTGCAAAACCAAGAGCTCTTATTTCAACAGCGGTAATGCTGACGCAGTCTAGATTAGAACCAAGCATTTTGGCTTGGAAGGAAGCACCTCTTCTCCTTTCCACTCTGCTCCCCTCTAGATGTTCTTAGTAAGCTCAGATACACGTGTATGATTTGAGGTTTGTCTGCTGAATGTCTCCTAATGGATCTGGTAGAGGGTACTCTAGGAGGGGATCAGCACCTTGAGACTTCACCCCAGATTTCAGTGCCTGCAGGAACAGGTGGTAAGCTCTGTATCCTACTATTGTGTAAACAATTTATATCAGGAGTGCACAAGATGCATTCCAGATGCCTCCCTTCTCCATCACCACCATATGAACACCACTATCCTCAAATTAAACTTACTCCCCATGAAGAATTAACCTTGTTGAAAATAAGGTGTGAAAGAGGCAGGCAGGCCAGGGAGAGCACATAACTCCTATGGAGATGCAGCTTTTATTAGCAGGTACAGACACTGCTCACGTTCCTGGCAAGCACATTACAGATACGCAAGGAAGCCACAGGTAAGGTGAAGATCTTGCTGAGGTCTGTGGAAACAGAATGATGAAGCAACTCTTCCCAAAGCCAAAATGTACTTTCAGGTATTTTACATAAAGAGTTAGAGCATTTGATTTTGATTTCAATGTAAGTCTTTCAGACTACAGTCCGTCTGCGATGCTGTTGCCAAACATAACGTGATTACTGAGAACCGAGCCCCTTGGAAGCATTTCAACTTATATTAAAATCAAATTATAATCAAATTATTATGATCAAAAGGCTGGAGCACCTCTGCTATGAAGACAGGCTGAAGGGGTTGAGGTGTTCAGCCTGGAGAAGAGAAGGCTCCAGGGAGCCCTTAGAGCAGCTTCCGGTGCCTGAAGGGGCTCCAGGAAAGCTGGGGAGGGGCTTTTCACCAGAGAAGATAGTGATAGGACAAGGGGTAATGGTTTTAAACTGCAAGAGGAGAGATTTAGGTCAGACATCAGGAGGAAATTCTTCCCCGTGAGGTGAAGTGTGAGGTGTCCCTGCTCATAGCAGAGAGATTGGAACCTGATGATCATAGAATCATAGAATGCGAGGTTGGAAAGCACCTCAAGGGTGCCCCTGGGTAATGTGTTCCCAGGTGCAAGACCTTACACTTCTCCCCATTAAGCTTCATAAGGTTCTTGCTAGCCCAGACCTCCAGTCTGTCTAGGTCATCCTGGAGGGTGGCTCTCCATTCCGGAGTGTCAACCTCTCATCTTGGTGTTGTCAGCAGACTTCATCAGGGTGCTCTTGATCCCAACATCCAGGTCACTTAAGATGTTAAGCAGCGTTGGGCCCAGTATTGATCCCTTGGGGACCCCACTTGTGACTGGCTGCCAGTTTGAGGAGGAACTATTTACTGTCACCCTCTGGGTATGGGCTGTCAGCCAGCTGATCTTTAAGGTTCCTTCCAACCTTAACCAGTCTATGATTCTATTAAAGTCAGGGTCCGAGACCGTGTGTGTGCAGACACATGTGGGTGCAATTTTATCCCTTATTTTAAAAGGCAGACAAGAAGAGCTGTCACTGATGTACTGAGGCACTGAGTGAGAGGAGAGCTGGCCGTTGGCACAGGGTGTCACCTGCCACCTGTGTCCTGTTGGTCCATGATGAGATATTGGGCTTGGGGACAGATCTGTTGGGCTTGAGCTCAGTGTTGTACTCTTGCTTAATGTTGCATCCAGGTAGACAAACCCACTCTGCTCTTGCAGCTGAAGAACACAGGCACGGCCAAGGGCAGGAAACATCATGGAACCATTGAAAGAAACAGACTCTAACTGTCTTAAGGGGAACATTTTTTAACTGCTTCAGCATAATTTAGCTTTGCTTCTGGTACATATAAAAGTGCCCCTGTAGCCAGCTTCCCTCATGGGTAAACCAAGAGTTTAAGAAATAAATAATTTCCTTTTTAAAATGTCTTTCTTCAGATGCAGTCCCAGGCCCTAGCTGTAAGCCAGTCCTCCCTGCGTGTGTAGCTGTTAGAGCTGAGGTTTCTGCAAGTGAACTAAATTGCAGTTGCGTGCACTGATTTTATATGCCACATCTGCTTAACTCAGGGGAGACTTATGTACATTAAAAAAAATAAAAATAAAGTAATAATACTCTGAATCTGTCACCAATTTACCTTCCTTACCTTGCCATAAAGGCCAACATCTATCCCCAGGCCAGGGGACAATGCTGCTCTTTCAGTCACTGCAGCCAACACAGCAGGTAAGCTTATAAACCCAGCAGGGGTTCTCCACTAAAAATTCTCCATCTTAATGAGATAAATGATCAGTTTTTCCATGATGCAATAAAACCAGAAGTATTTAAACTCTGCTTTCTTTCTTCAGTGGTTGCCTGGCTTGCCTAAGCTTCCTACTAAGTGAATGCTTCACAGGCTTCAAAGCCTGAGCCCTGTGAATATGTGGTGTGATTATGGCTTTGCTGAAAAATGTGGATAATTCCCACTTCAAGCACTCTTAATTTCTTTCTACCTAAGGCTTTAAAGAAAATAAACAACTTGCAAGAGTCATACAAATAACTTTAAAATGGGAGGCCTGTTCCCTTTTTCACATAACTTTTTCCAAACTAATCACTTAGAGGGTAATTGACTTGCAAAACGATCCAGGAGGCCTCCACAGTTGAATTACTATTTTTGATCTGTCCCAGAATGGTGCTGCTATTTCTCATAACAGAAAATGACGACCTCCCTCTAGACTTTTTACTTACCACTTCAGCTACCACTAGCAGCCTCACACCTGTCGTAGCTGGATTCAGATCAGAGAAATTAATTTGAATATTTAATTGATTCCAAATGTCCTATGCAAGATGGAGAAAG